CCACCTTTAAGTATACCGATCGTCATATCTCGACTAGCTGAGTCGATCTAGACATGTGTGTCCGTCCGTCTGTCCATTATAATTTGTAAACATGATTCAGACCACAGTTATGGACGAATTTTCACGAAATTTTGCATGTAGGATGAGTTCTGCCAAATGAAGACCCCTATTGTTTTTTGGTAACGATCAGTTAATACTTAAGGGATGAAATTGACCAAAAAATTTATTTTTATGATTTTCTGGTCGCTCCAGATGCACTAATTTTGGCCCGAACATCGTGATTTTTTACATGGTGAAGGGAATCGGGCCAAAGAATAAACATGCCTGTTTTGAAGAAAATCGGTCAATATTAAACGGGTCTAATGGATACTGATTTTTGTGTGAAAAATTACAAAATGTATATTCTAAAGCGAAAATATTTACTCCTAAATGACATAGAACCAAGAAGTTGAATATATATCCAAGAGGAGTGGTTGGCCTTCAAATTTATACCAATTACCTCTTCGATGTGGGAGCCTAGAGTCTTCGGTGATAATCAGAAAATAATTTTGTGATGAAGTGGACCCAAACCATAACTCTTTTGTGTTTTTCGAGTCGACCCATAGGCCACAATTATAAGTTGAACATCACAACACAAGCCACTGAAAGGAATCTGGACAAGTAATTAGAAGGCTTGTACTGAATATTAGTAATATTCGGAAAATATGTCAGTGTAAGGAAGAGGTGCTGTTGACCTCTAAGCGGCCAAGAGAGTGCAAATATCACGAAATATTGCCCGAAATAAACACCCACAGAAAGTTAGAGTTACGTGGTAGTTGTGTAGAAAGTTAGAGTTACGTGGTAGTTGTGTAGGGTTTTGTATGGCCCCGTCGGCCCCGTCCGACTATACTGCTCAGCTCACTGGCTTAAAAATATTTTCATACTCTTTGTGCATATGTTTGTAACAGGCAAAAGGAAACGAGATAGACAAATGGTTCCTTTTGAGGATATGCATAGAATCACTTTCTAAGTCGATTTATGCATGTCCGTCCGTCCGTCTGGCCATGTTAAATTGTAAACGAAGTACAGGTCGCATTTATGATCCGAACTGGATGAAATTTGACGCAGCTCGTCTATTTGCCCCAAGGATGAACCCTATTGAAATTGGGAAAAATCGGTTCAAATTTAGATATAGCTCCCATATATAGCTTCGTCCGATTTCATGTAAATGGTGCACCAAAGGCCCTATATAGCTTTCGATTTGCACGAAGTTTGGCACAGCGTACTTAATTGAGCCTAAAATGATGTGTGCTAAGATTCGTGGAAATCGGTCCAGATTTAGATATAGCTCCCATATATAGTTTCGTCAGATTTAAGGTAAATGGTGCACCAAAGTTCCTATATGTCGTTCGATTTGCAAGAAATTTGACTCAGTGTAATGAATTAAGTCTAGAATAATGTCTGCCAAGTTTCGTGATAATCGGTCCAGATTTAGATATAGCTCCCATGTATAGTTTCGTCTGATTTCATGTAAATGGTGAACCAAAGTCCCTATATATATTTCGATCTGCACGAAATTTGGAATAACGTACTGAATTGAGCCGAGAGTGATGTCTGCCAAGTTTCGTGAAAATCGGTCCAAATTTTGATATAGCTCACATGTATAGTTTCGTCCGATTTTAGCTAAATGGTACACCAGAGACCCTATATATACTTCGATTTGCACGAAATTTTGCACGGCGTGCTGAATTGAGTCTAGAATGATGTGTGTAAAGTTTCCTGAAATTCGGTCAAGATTTAGACATAGCTCCCATATATATTTTCGTCCGATTTAATGTAAATGGTGCACCAAAGTCCCTATATATATTTCGATCTACACGAAATTTGGAATAACGTACTGAATTGAGCCGAGAGTGATGTCTGCCAAGTTTCGTGAAAATCGGTCCAAATTTTGATATAGCTCACATGTATAGATTCGTCCGATTTTAGCTAAATGGTACACCAGAGACCCTATATATACTTCGATTTGCACGAAATTTTGCACGGCGTGCTGAATTGAGTCTAGAATGATGTGTGTAAAGTTTCCAGAAATTCGGTCAAGATTTAGATATAGCTCCCATATATATTTCCGTCCGATTTAATGTAAATGGTGCACCAAAGTCCCTATATATTCTTCGAATTGCACGAAATTTTGCACGGCGTGTTGAATTGAGTCTAGAATTATGTGTGCTAAGATTCGTGGAAATCGCTTCAGATTTTGATATAGCTCAGATTTGGATATATTATCGTCCGATTTCATGTAAATGGTGCACCAAAGTCCCTATATATTCTTTGAATTGCACGAAATTTTGCACGACGTGTTGAATTGAGTCTAGAATGATGTGTGTTAAGTTTCGTGAAAATCTGTTCAGATTTGGATATAGCTCTCATATATATTTTCGTCCGATTAAATATAAATGGTCCACCAAAGATCCTCTATATTTTTTCGATTTGTGCGAAATTTGGCATAGAGTACTAAATTGAGTCTAAAAAGATGTCTGCTATGTTCGTCCGATTTAATGTAAATGTTGCACAAAATTCCGAAATTTGGCATAGCGTACTGAATTGAGTCCAGAATGATGTGTGCTATATTTTCGTCCGATTTTACATAAATGGTGCACCAAACTGCTAATGTTTGTCCGATTAACCCGAAATTCTGCACATTGTATCGAAGTGAGACTTTAATGACGTTATTGGGTTTTGTTGAAATTGGTGCGGATCCAGCCATATCTTCCATATGTATTTCGAACGGGTGTCTGTTTGAGATTAAATGTTTAACTGTGCGGCGTACCGAATAGCGTGTATCAATTTTGCTATAAATCATTTTCCATAAATTTGTCTGCCCGATTTTAATTATACCCTACACAACTATGTTGTCAGGGTATTATAGCTTTGTGCAGCCCCAAATGTTTGTAACGCCGCGAAATATTGGTCCTAGACCCACCTTTAAGTATACCGATCGTCATATCTCGACTAGCTGAGTCGATCTAGACATGTGTGCCCGTCCGTCCGTTAGACCGTCTGTCCATTATAATTTGTAAACACGATACAGGCCACAGTTATGGACCAATCTTCACGAAATTTTGCATGTAGAATGGGTTCGGGCCAATGAAGACCCCTATTGTTTTTGGAAAAGATCAGTTAATATTTAGGGGATGAAATGGACCAAAAACTTTATTTTTGTCTGATTTTCTGGTCGCTCCAGAGACCGCAATTATGGCTCAAACACCGCGAATTTTTGCATGGGGAAGGGGATCGGGCCAAAGAATAAGCATGCCTGTTTTGATAAAGATCGGTCAATATTTAGCGGGTCAAATGGACCCTGACTTTTGTGTGAAAAATGACAAAATTTTTATTCTATGGCGTATATATTTGCCCCTGAAGGACCTAGACCCAAAAAGTTGATAGTATATTCAAGAGGAGTGGTTGACCTTTAAATTGATACCAATTATAGGGTCGTATGTACGCAGATGTGGGAGCTACACTTAAATATTTACAGGTGCTTACGTATTCAGACATTATTTAGTAACCCAAAACCACACTAGAGGGCGGAAATATAGCGCTGATCGCTTTGAAATATTCAATGAGGATCCAGGTATGGTCAGGGATATCGGCTATAATTTTTGGTGAAGATCAGATAAAAATTTTGGGATGAAGTGGACCGAAAACTTAATTTTTTTGTGTTTTTTTCGAGACGATCTATATGCCACAATTATAATCCGAACATCACAACATAACCCACGGCAAAGTGATTCTGGACAAGTACAGCCCTCGTCTACTGAATATTAGTAATATATGTTGACCTTTAGTCAGGTTTCCAGATGGTGCAAATAACGCAAAGTTAGATTTTCATGGAAGTTGTGTAGGGTATTATATGGTCGGCCCCGTCCGACTATACTGCTCCGCTCACTGGTTAAATTTATCATAGGTTGCCGAAAGACATGAGCATATTCCTTTGAGGCAAAACATTGACATACAATTATACGGATACATATGTACAATATACCCAAGTGGTGAAGGGTATCATATAGTCGGCCCAGTCCGACTTTACTACTTTCCTTACTGGTTTAATATGAATTTTTCAGAGAACTATGTGAGGCCTGAATTGAAAAAAATATATATGCCTATCTATGGCGGCGATTTGAATTTATTTCTATTGAAAAATAATTGGCCTTTTTTAATGAAAATAATTTTAATCCAATTTATTATGAATATTATAATCAATAAAAATTATAATTTTAATTAGAAATTTACAAAAAAAATCACCTGATCTCCAATGTTATATATTCTCCCCCTTTACAAAATTCAACACTACAATATTCCAAAAGCTCCCTTTTAAATAATAGAGGTGATGAAACAATTTGTTTTCTGATTTTTTTCACAACATTTCAATTGATTTGTTAATGAAAAATAAAACAAGCCGAATTATTATAAAAAAGTGAAACAAAACAAGATTAAATCAAATGATGCTAATAAATAAAATCGAATTAAAATAAAATTCATTCATTAGAATTTACATGAAATGTTTTAATTCAATTAAAAATCAACAACAACAATAAAAAAATTGACAAAAAATTATAATTGAATTTAAGCATGCAATTGAATGATTTTCGAATAGCCCCAGCAAACTGCAAAAATTTCCATATAAAAACAAAATTCAAATCCATCAACGGAATGTCAGTCCAGAAGGTGTCCATTAAACACAAATCAAAACAAATTAGAAAATTAAAAGCTACAAAAAATATTACAAAAACAAAATGAAATTTTATTTGTGTTTGGCAATTTGTGTAGTGGCGCTTCTTGTTGGCGGGGTAAGTTTGAAAAGGAAATCCAAGGAAATTATGAAATTTAAAGGAGAAGGATATTGGACCTGAGGACTATAGTCTACCAAAATGATATCATGGACTTCTTATAATTCAAAATATCTGAGGAAATATCTTCTCAATTTTTTTAAATATTCTCCCACTTCCCCTCTCTTTCAGACCACTGCCCAGTGGGAGGAATACAAAGAGCTCGCCCAGAAATGCATGGAACAAAACAGCATCCAAGAGGACGAATTTGAAGCCATTCCCAAATATGACGATTTCGATCCCAATACCATGGATGAACGTTTCAAATGTTTTACCCATTGTGTTATGGAGGATATGGGCCTTTTGGATGAAATGGGAAAACTGGATTTGACCAAGTTGGAAGAAGATGAACGTGTCACCCAAGAGCATATGGATGCTGCCATCAAATGTAAGGCAGAAAACGAATTTATCGATGAGCCATGTGAATATAGTTTCAAAATGATGACTTGTGGATTGGATGCAATGATGTAAACGCCGGGTAATCGGAAAGGAAGGACTAGTTAGGAAAAATTATAACAAATAAAAACAATAAAAATGGCAACAATAATTTAGAAATAAATTTTATTAAAAAATCGACAAAGGTGCTTGAAAAAAAAGTTATTTTTAACCAGTGAGCGGAGCAGTATAGTCGGACGGGGCCGACCATACGATACCCTACACAACTTCCACGGAACTCTAACTTTCTGCAGATGTTTATTCTGAGCCTGGGCAATATTTCGTGATATTTGCACCCTCTTGCCCGATTAGAGGTCAATAGCACCTTTACCTTACACTGACATATGTTTCGAATATTAATAATATTCAGTACAGCCCTTGTAATTACTTGTCCGGATTTCCTTCACCGTGGGTTGTGTTGTGATGTTCGGCTTATAATTGTGGCCTATAGATCGACTCGAAAAAAAAAACACACACACAAAAAATTAAGTTTTCGGTCCACTACATCCAAAAATTATTATCTGATCATCACCGAAAATAATAGGCGTTGTCCTTGACCACAACTGGAAAATTTTGAGAGCGACCAGCGCCATATTTCCGCCCTCTAGTGTGGTAATGGGTTACTAAATAATATCTCAGTACGTAAGCACCTGTAAATATTTAAGTGTAACTCCCACATCTGAGTACGTACGACCATATAATTGGTATCAATTTAAAGGTCAACCACTCCTCTTGGATATACAATCAACTTCTCTGGTCTGTGTTCTTCAGGGGCAGATATATAGCCAATATAATACAAAATTTGTAATTTTTCACACAAAAGTCAGAGTCCATTTGACCCGCTAAATATTGACCGATCCTTATCAAAACAGGCATGCTTAGTCTTTGGTTCGATCCCCTTCTCCATGTAAAATTTCGCGATGTTCGCGCCATAATTGCGGTCTCTGGAGCGACCAAAAAAACCGACAAAAATTTAGTATTTGGTCCATTTCATCCCCTAAATATTAACTGATCTTTACCAAAAACAATAGGGGTCTTCATTGGCCAGAACCCATCCAACATGCAAAATTTCGTGAAGATTGGTCCATAACTGTGGCCTGTATCGTGTTTACAAATTATAATGGACAGACGGACGGACGGACGGACACACATGTCTAGATCAACTAAGCTACTGGGGAGCTATTCTCATCACCCAATGAAATAGTGAGCTAATATATGCCGCGAGTTCACCCATAAGAATTGTAAAAAATGCGTTGGGGCGTCGGGTTAGTTGCCCACTCTCGGGAAACCCAACCTACTATGAAAAAGCAAAGAAAAAGAAAGCCAAACCCCCACGATCTGCAAATCTGCACTTGGAATGTGCGCACGTTGCACAGAACAGACGCAGTGCTCACTTTGGCGGATATACTCAAGAAGTACAAAGCCGATATTATTGCCTTACAGGAAATGCGATGGAAAGGGACAGGCGTAAATAAATCAGACGATTGCGCCCTGTATTATAGCTGCCATGAAACGAGGCATGAATTTGGTTGCGGATTTATGGTTAACAGGAGAATAAAAGACCTTGTCTCCAGATTCACTCCAGTAGATGGGCGAATTGCTATAATCCGTATAAAAGCGAAGTTCGTCTACATCAGTCTCATTTACGTCCATGCTCCGACCGAATATAAAGATGAACAGCGCCTAGAAACAGCATATAACCGTTGACCTGGCCATGACATTAAAATTCTGCTAGGAGATTTGTAATGCAAAAATCGGAAGGGAAAATATCTTTGGCCACACCGTCGGAAAATTCAGCCTTCATAAAGAAACATCCGACAACGGCATGAGGTTGATTGACATCGCGGCAGCAAAAGTTGGCACCACCAGATTCAAGTATCTCGATATACACAAGGCAACCTGGATCTCCGCTGATCAACTAACGAGAAATCAAATTGATCATGTTGTGATAGACGGAAGGCATTCATCCAGTGTTTAAGACGTCCGATCGATCCGTGGAGCGAATATCGATTCGGACCATTACCATGTTGCAACCAAGGTACGCACCCGTCTTAATGTTGCAGTAAAGGTGCGATCTAATACAACACGGAAACTCGACGTCGAAAAGCTGAAAACACAACAGGTAGCCGAGGCCTACTCCGCTCAACTCACCAATCTGCTTGAAGAAAGCACTTCTTGTCCCGATAATAGTATAGAAGCACAATGGCAAAGAATTGCCCACTCCCTACAAACTGCAGCAAAAGCAACACTTGGGTGCCAAAAACCACCACCAAGAAATCCATGGTACGATCAGGAGTGTCGTAATGCTACTGATGTGAAAAACGCAGCGTACAGGGCAACCCTGCAGACAGTAGCAATACGTAACGTGATGCAGAATTATCGGGAGAAAAGGAGAGAGGAGAAACGTGTTTTCAGGAAAAAGAAGAAAGAGCAAGAAAAACGTGAGCGTGAGCAAATCGAGATGTACATGAGTCGGAATGAAGTCCGAAAATTCTACCATCGGGTAAAACACCAAACCGAAGGCTTGGGTGCAGGCACATCCTCCTGTAGAGATGAAGAAGGAAACCTGGTGACAGATACAGACAGCGTGTTGAGGATCTGGAAGGAGCATTTCGAAAAGCTTCTAGTACCAAATAGTGGCGATGAAGTAGATACCCCAGAACCAATAAGAGATGATGGTATAGAGTGTATACCACCTAGCCAAGATGAGGTCATAAAAGCAATTAATCGGATCAATAACAATAAAGCAGCAGCAGCCGATGGGTTACGAGCCGAACTATTTAAGACTGGTGGCCAGATGCTGGTCAGGAGCATGCACCAGCTGATTAGCACAATGGCTAGATGAATGCATGCCCAATGATTGGAACGTCAGCATCCTGTGTCCCGTGCACAAAAAAGGAGACAAGACGATATGTGCCAACTATAGAGGAATAAGTCTCCTTCCCATCGCATATAAAGTGCTATACAGTGTGCTGTGTGAACGATTGAAGCCAATGGTCAAAGGCATCATCGGACCATACCAGTGCGGCTTCAGACCTGGCAAATCCACCATTGACCAGATTTCACTCAGCGCCAAATCCTGGAAAAGACCCACGAAAAACACATTGACACATACCACCTATTTGTCGACTATAAAGCCCCAGTAGACAGCCCTATCCGTTCAGAGGTGTTTAAAGCCATGTCTGCGTTCGGCATTCCTGCAAAATTAATACGGCTATGCAGGATAACTTTAAGTGGCACAAGGTCAGCAGTTAAAGTCGGAAAGGACCTATCGGAGCCCTTCAGTACCGAACGATGATTCAAACAAAGTGACAGTTTGTAGTGTGACCATCCTGCTGGAAAAGGTCATGCGAGTGGCAAAAGTGAACAGAAATGACACTCTGTACACCAAACAACACAAGTTACTCGCCTACGCCGATGGCATCGATATAATGGATCGAACATTGCGAGCGGTAACAGCCACCTTGGAACAATTTGAAAAGGAGTCTGCCAAAGTGGGTCTGGCAGTAAACGGCGAGAAGACCAAGCTGATGGTATCAAAGCGCAAGACGTTCAGTAGACTCGAACCAACTGTGGAACATGAGAACTACAGCTTCGAGGTGGTTAAAGATTTTATATACCTTGGTACCGCCAAAAATAAAACGAATGATATCAGTTTTGAAATTCGGAGAAGGATTGTGATGGCCAACAGATGCTACTATGGTCTAGGTAAGCAGTTTGGAAACAAGGTCACCTCCCGCCAGACCAAACTCACACTTTACAAGACGCTGATACTACCCGTGCTATTATATGGATCAGAAGCATGGGTACATGCGCAAGCAGATGAGGCGGCTCTTAAAGTGTTTGAGAGAAAAATTCTCCGAAAGATCTACGGGCCGATCTGCGTCGACGGTGAATATCGGCGTCGAATGAACCACGAGCTGCAGCGACTACGGTGGCTAGGCCATGTTGTGCGGATGAATGAAAATGCCCCATCTCAAAAGGCATATAAAAACGAGCCTACTGATGGTTCCCGTAGAAGGGGAAGGTCACTAATTAGATGGAAAGACCAAGTAGAAAACAACATATTGGAACGTGGTCTTCCTAATTATGGAACAACAGTTCTGTAATAAGCCAGCTAAGTAAGTAAGTAATAGTGAAAAAATCGCCTTCGCCTTCCATAAGTGCTAAAAAATATTTTTAAAAATCAACGCTTTCCAATGCTCATTCATCAAAACACTGCTTATTTAGATCTTCGGAATTTTTTTTTAATCTACGCCTTATTGGCCCTTTAAAAAATATTTTATTATACAGATTTTAAAATTTTTCTGTTTTAAATTTTCCAATTTTGTTTTCTTTACAACCTTAAGGCTATAAATCCTCATCACGTCCTTAATTCCTTCTCCCCTGCCTTTTGTTTATCACTTTCATTGTGTCATAAGTAATAAATTTTGTTTTTGTTGTTGCATATCCCATGTTGATCTTTGTCAATGATCCATCCATTCGGTCATGTCATGTAAATCATGCTATTATGCAGATTTCACTCTTCTGCTGCTTCTTCTTCCACCGCTCATTGACATCGTCTTTTTTATAGATATTTCACAGTTATTTTGACGCAATATTTTAGCCATATATATTCGACATGTTTGTGTTTGCTTTTGCGTTCTTTTTTTATATCAATGACCCGGCTGCGTAATATTAAATGCAACTTTATGACAAAAAAGCAACAACAACAACAAAAACAACATCAACACCAATGACAACAAAATATCCTTTCTTTTGTGCTACTATAAGCCTGATAGCAGCACAAAGAGCAGCAGCAACAACAACAGCACCAACAACATTGTTGCTAAACAATGAATGTTAACAGCCCGGAGTTTTTTTTTTCGTAGTTGTTGTTTTTGTTGTTGTTGGTGCTGCTGCTGTTGTCACCACATAAAAAAGCGTCGGACATAAAATGCCAAATGGAATTTACTGGTTTGTAAATTACTTTAAAATAACAGTAATAAAAATGTCATTTTGCATAACATGTAGCGAAAACGACACCAACAACAAAA